GTTCTCTTTCTGTTTGACTTCTTATTCTTCTCTTCTCACCGAAAATTAATTCTCGTTAAAATATTGCAAACGAGTTCAAAGTTGCACAGGTTTCTAGACAGCTTATCTTAACTGTTTATAATTGTCTGTGAAATTTTAAAGTCTCTTATACTGGACTGTTCAAAGTACCAAACACTGACTCATTTTTTAGTGTTGAATAAAAGTCTTAAACAAGCGATTGTTGTATGAATTGTACCGCAGATGTTGACTTATTCTACAATTACTTCACTACATATATTCAATTGTACGACTATTCATATGCACTTTTGTAATATTTTTATGTAACTTCCTGAATACCAGTGCTCTGCAAATTTTAACACATAAGATTTTTGAAATTTTTTTATTGATATAATGTTTTTTGTTGTTACTCTTTCGGCTTTAAAGGTTTGTTAAGCGTAAAAGCATAAATGTTATTTTTTGCAGTTCTTTTGGCATTTATAAATCAGTGACAATTATAATGTCTAAATTTTTATGGCAAAAATGATTTGTGGAAGCGCACCGATGTAACATCTGTCATAAACTGTTGTAATCAAAGCCTGGTTAATATAAGTATCTGCCTACTTTAGCAGAATATTGTTTATCTTCTGATGGTTCTAGTGGTAGGTTTTTTTATGAGAGTAATGAAGATTTGCGATAGAGATGGACCATCAAAAAGGTGCAAACTCTACTAATGTGAAAAAGTAAAACGTTGAAATCTAAAAAGGCGGTAAGAGATTTAGGCTGTTTAGGCTGTTTGTTTGGAAGAGTGAAATTTGTTACGGTCCATTTCTTTTGATTTTTTATATAATATTTATTCAAAAACTGATGGGAAGCTTTCGCTGTCACACCATGAGGAAGTTTTTTTGATAGAGTTGTATTGTTCCGGTAAAAGATGGCGGGGAATGGTTGTCGGATTGCCTTGATTCGCTTTTGCGTTTGGAGACAACATCTGGAATATCTCTACAGGTTTCGTTATAAAAGTTTTATTTCTGTTTTTCAGAAAGGGAAAAAAGAACTTTTATAATTTTGGTTTTACGTACAAGGAAACCTGGTACCTGCGGTTTGCTAAATAAAAGCAAATATTCTTTCAATGAGCCATGGAGTTCTTTTGCAGGTTTCTGTTTATAACGACGGCAGTAATGATGAAACAAAAAATATTTTAGAAAATTATCGTCCATTGTTTACTGCGCACTCTGTTGATTATATAGTTACTCACTGTTCAGATTCTAACGGTATTCGCGTCTTGAATGATATATTAAGTTGTTGGTTACTTCATCTTTAGGTGTTATATGAGACAAAGTATTTTCTACTGCAGAATTTCCCCTTTTAGACATTGTTTATGCATATTACAATTCGTCGTAGGGGTTGGATTTGCAAAGAACCGGGCGATTGCAAAAAGCTGCGGCGAGTTCTTATGTTTTTGCGATGCTGATGACGTCTTTCTAAGTTGTCGAATCGTGGCGCAGTTGAAAGTAGCTCTTCAGTGTGACAACCCATCATTTACCCTCATTGGCGGAAAATTTAAAAGAATTCCTGAGTTTTCCACAGAGAGATACACAAAATGGGCAAATTCTTTAAATTCTTCTCAACTGTATAAACAAGTAATCCTCTAAACGCTCATAACAGTCTTTTCCCGGATTTCATTATAATACCAAAAATAAGCTGCTTTTTTTTTACGAATTGTCGTATGGATTAACCTCTGTTCTGATTTACATAAAATCAGTTTGAACTTTGAGAAACCAAGCACTGTGAAAGGTAACGGAATAAATTTATAATGGCGACAAAGTTACAGATTTACACATCTCATGGTCCAACGCTTATTGCTCCGACTTGGTTTATGTCTCGCAAATTGTATGATGCAGTCGGCGGTTTTGATGAAAGCCGAGCTTTTGGTTATCCTGAAGATCTAAAGTTTTTTTATGATGCTTTGAAACTGGGCGTTAAGCTTATACGAGTTCGTTTAAAAACTTCTTTGAAGTCTTTAAATGAATGTACATGTTATTCATCTGGGTCTAGTGTAGGAAGGCGTTTTGAGAACTTGATAGTTCAATGTGTTTACTTATACTTTTTTTTTTCTAGGTGGATGAGTACGTGACTATTTATCGGTATCATCCAAAGTGTGCTTCTCTGAAAGTTGATGAGTTGGAGATTTGGTCTTTGAGAATTAAAGAAGTGTCTGAGTGTGTAATTTCTCACTGGGACCGTTTCATGATATGGAGTGCTGGAAAGCAGGGGAAGCGTTTTTTTAAGTCTGCTTGCTAATAATTTATTTCATTCCTTTAAAATTAACATTATGAGCGTGTTGAGAAGTACTTGTCGAAGGAATGCAAGGGTTTACTACCTCTTTCTTAAACTGACGTCATTTTTATTTTAAGCTCACCTATTCAATATCGTAACCTTGTTTAATTGTTCAGCGCTCTGTCGATTAATGACCAAAAGAAGGTGGTTGCTTTTTGTGATGTGGACGTAAAAAAAGTCAGACGGGGTTATTTTGAACAGTTTGATGCGAAAACCCGAGCCGTTACTGCAAAAGTGCCTATATTACCTATTAGGTACGAGTAGAACACTTAATTTGGCGTCATTGTCATTCTTACCTTTTGTTGGTAGTCTGTTAAAATGTTTTTTCAATTACAGTGCGGCGGTACCACCTGTGGTAATATGCGTTAAACTGGACCTCACTGGGGGAAATTTAGAGCAGTTTCTGATTCAAAAGAACTGGCGTGAAGGCGACGATTATTTTCATTTTAGCTAGTTTAGTTTGAGTTTTTCTTTTGTAGCTTAACTGTTTCAGATTCCTATTATTTTGTGTTCACAGATAAATTTGTGGTTATACTGAACAGTGAGTTAATGGATTTTTGTAAATAAGGATAATCTACTATGCTGATAAAACTCGTAACTGAAAAAATAAATGTTTTTCAATTATGGTTCTGTTCGTCTTTGGTTCACGTTTTTCTTGTCACTGATCTAACCCTATCTGAATCCTCTCATTTCGAAATTTGCAAAACTGTCACTCTTAAATATTTTGATTCGAGCGTACCGTAGGTAGTATTTTTTGCATTAGGTTTAATGAAGACTCACTATTTAGAAATTTGCTATTCGGCACTATTCTTCACCGATGGTATTTGTGAAGCAGCTAGCGAAGCTAATTTTACTGCCAGTAAGGTTTGGGACTCATCGCCGTACACTTAGCAGTATGGAGTTAGTGCTTTAATGGTATTGTTTTTTACTGAGGATGACTCACAGCTTTGTTTGGAGA